ATGGTCCGACTAGTGCATTACACGCGCGTGTTACTATATATAGAGTAATTAAATGATCGTAAAACGAGTAATAGCTATAATAATATAGTGATTATTATATTATTCGAAAGWCGCTTACTATATTGTATCTGTATGCGTCGCACAATCCATTAATTTTTATTGTTAATTAATTGTATAAATCAATAAGTATACGACAATTATATGTGTATGAGTCTTATTTAAYAAATCACATGAATAAAATTACAAGATATTGAATAAAATAGTAAATTGTTATTTTACGTACAATATGCTGGTATTTGTCGGATAGTTCAGGTGGTGGTGAAGAGAGGATGAGTGTTGGATGACTAAATGAAAAATGCCGTATATAAATAATAATAACATAAAATATTATATTTATCATAATATACAGGCGTAGGAGACAATCAAACTCGCCGTTTAATATTAGACGATCATACGATTAGACGATTGTGTATGTATTTTAAAAGAATTTTCACTTTAAATTTTAATACACAAACCGAGCTTACAATTTTTTAATCTCGTTTTTACAGAGCGGTTTAAAATTAGTAATGACATAATATGAATAATATGATAATATGATGTATGTCGAGTCAGGGTGTGAGTTGACGATCGCCACATATTACATACTCGTATATCATACGAGGAAGACACTTTTTTTCTTCTTTCTAGACTTTTACAGGTCTTTAAGRCCCATCGTCGCAACAACATGTTGGTTTTATTCTTCTCTATCTTATGCACATTGTTCTGCGTTTCTTACGTTCAGGAGTTTCAATTCTTCTTGTACTCTATCCACCCGTTTTTGTGTGGGGCGTCCTCGAGCCTCGAGGCCTCTTAGTGTCGAGTTTCCATTTAGTTATTGATCCAATCATCCAATCATTCCCCTCTGACCTCCACACATATCCCGCCCAACTTATCCTCGAGCTCTTCAGGAACCCAACAACGGTGGGTTCCTTGTATAGGTAGACCATTCAATTATCAGGTATTTGAARTTCTGTACCCTTTAAAATTTGTAATCATCAGTCTGACTAATTTTGATGGTATTTCCATTTTGTTCATGACACTCCATAGTTTTTCCCTATTAGTCGAATCGTATGCGGCTTTGTTTGTTATCTATGAACACAAGGTGTATATAAGATGTCTTTATACTCGTGACTCTTCTCAGCTGATTGTTTGATGATGTGGATTTGATCAACTGTTGATCTCCCTATCGTGAACTCAGCTTGATATTCTCCTATTCTTTCTTTRATAAATGGATTGATTCTGATTAGAAGAATATTAGACAGAAACTTAAGAGTTGTGTTGAGTAAGGAGATTCCTCTATAATTTTCACACTCCATGAAAGGTATCCCCTTTTTTAAAAACAAGACATAGGACAGATATTCTCCGCAATTCGGGTATTTCCTCTTGTTCCCATATTATGTTTATTAATTTATGAAGTTGGTTTAATAAGCAAGGATCATCTTTTTTTAAACATTCTGATGCTATTTCMTTTTCTCTTCACTTGGTGCTTTACCATTGTTAAGCATTATTTAATCTCGTTTTTACTTAATTTTTTTACGGGGTTTCGAATAGCTGTTCTACTGTCGTTAGTTCGTTTACTRGTTCAAAAGCTTTGCAAACATATCTTTGAGTTCGCATACGATTTCTTTGTTGCCTGTTAGAAGGATTCTATCAATTTTTCTCATAATCGTTAGTCTGGGCTTGTATCCATGTCTTACTTCATTTAAATTTCCAAAAAAAAAAAATTTTGAATGGGTATTACTATTTTTTTTATATTTTATATGCGTCCTTTTTCCCATAGTCTCTTATTTAATCTTATCGCCTTTTTACCTATCTTTATTTAAGTGCTAACAATCTTTTGTTATCTTCATTGGGTTCATGTAATACTTTCATGCGGACTCTATCTTTTTCATGTAAAGCTCTTTTAAAGTCTTCAGTAAATCACATTTTCCTTGTTTTTTCTGGTATGTACCAAGTACCTCTACAGYTATGGTTTTTATTGTTTGTTCTACTTCTTTCCATGTTTCACTTATATTTGGTCTTTCTTGTATATTCTGTAATTTTGACATTAACTTTTCTTGATATAATCTAGCTGTTGATGTTTTCAGTGCTTCTTTATCTATTTTCTCCTTGTGTTTCTACTTCTTTCACCACTCAGTTGATATTCTGATATTTATTTTTGTTCTTACGAGAAAATGATCCGACATAGCGCTACTTCCTCTCATGCTTCTTACATCTCTTACACAAGACTTTATCCGTGAATCAACTGTTGTGTGGTCTATTTGGTTTCTTACATAACCACATGTCGAAATCCATGTTTGTTTATGAATATTCTTGTGCAGGAAACATGTGTAACTTATAGTCATATTCCTAGCAGCTGCAAAAGAGATCAACTTATAACCATTATCATTAGATTCTTCATGTAAGCTTTCAGATCCAATTGTTGGATTATATTGGATTTTTGCATTAAAATCTCCGATCACTATTTTTGGTTTATCAGCTGACAAAGAATCGTATAGCATGTTTAGATTATCATATAATTCATTTTTTATCTTCTGTAGGTGAATAACAGTTAATTAGGATCAAAGTGTGCCACTTACATTTAAGTTCCATGTAACATATACGGTCATTTATAGGTTTGAAATTTGCAATTTGTGGTAAAAAATTTTCTTTAGGTATAAACCCTACACCTTGTTCGTGTTTGTCCTTACCACTGTAAAATAGAATCATTCCTTGAGACTTAAAGCTCCCTGAACTTGTCCATCTCACTTCTTGAATAGCAGTTAAATCCATCTCGTAATGTATATAGTATGATGGATATTAATGACTGACTTAAACAAACAGCATTTAACGATCTTCTCATTGAAGGAACATATAATATTATAATAATTTAGTACATATATTTACAATATTTGTACGATAATTTATTAATGTTCAGTTCATACACCGGTCATTGAATCCCCACTTTTTATATCCTTTTTTGTTGGTTGTCATATGTATATTTTGGAATTTAAGTCTGGTACGTAAAAAAACTAGTTCAGATGCATATACGATATACTATATAGTCTTATATGTTATTATTTTAATACATTTAGTAGGTGTATAGATACAGGAATTTATGTATATTATATCACCCCTAAATATTACACGACCTAATTGATTCAGAATTAAAAGAGGTAGAGATTCTTCAGTTTCCTAACATTTTCTCAACCAGTAATGTTTTGTTTCTGTAAAAACCTTTTAATATATATATATATATATATATATAAAAAAAAATGCGTTTTAAGTTATTGGTTTTTTCACTTGACTATATCGAGTATTGACATGAACACTTTATCGATCTAATTGAAAAATAAATAAAATAATAATAATATGTATGTCTAAGAAATATAAAAAATAAAAATGTTGTACTTAATATATTTTCATCGTACATTCCTTAAACAACCTAAACTTATGATGTTCTCGTCCTCCGAACACGTGCCAACCTGCGTACTACCACTAAAATACAGTCTTTGTACATAGAATTATTATTATTACTATACGAGCAAACGAGTAATAAAAGTTGATTCGAGGAATCGTTGCGCCGCTGCAAATGTCCTGTCTGTAATTTATTCGACAGTAATTTATTATCAACGAGACGACGAWGTTATAATATATTTTATATTATTATTATTATTATATCGAGTGTTGTATACGGTTTATTTGCTACCGACTACCGCGAGAACAGTGAAATATGTATTGCACACGCATATAGGTTTTACGGTATCAGTTATTATCTGTTAGATTAGGTATATATAGTTTGACGTTTGAGCATCTCAACGATAGGTACAACATAAAGAGTTCGGATGCGTTTTGACGTGCAGTGCGCGTGTGCGGTGGCCGCTGCGCTCGCGATTTTCGACCCGTAAATGGTCATTATAACTTTCACCGTTTGATCCGTTCATGTCCAAATTCGGTATGTTGCCGTAATAACTCATTGGTGCAGCGTCTGAAAAAAATKTATAATACAATAATAATATTATTGTATCTATGTATCGGAATATAAGCTGCAAGTTCGACGATTTCTCGAACATCTATAATAATATTATATACCTACCTAGTACCTATCACACCATTCACACTAATTGTTATATATCAGAATTATTATTTTATTTAACTCACGRCTGCAAAGGCCGTTCKGTCTTACAAAAAATATTTACGATATATYATTGTCTTAATGACTATATAAAAGTTTACAAATCTTGTACAGCAATAATGTGATGTGTTATTAATTTTGGAACAGATGATGAAGTCGACTATAAGTTGAGTCTGATGAATTCGTTACCTATTATTATTTAATTATAATACTGTACGTATTATAAAATATTATAGGAATAGRATTTTTATCAATTTTACCGAACCATTGTTTCTTTTTCTTTCGCATGTCGAGTGTTATCGTAATGCTTAGTTTATGTATTGTCGTCGTCGTCGTCGTCGTCGTCGTCGTCTGTATTTAGTTTACAAAGTAATCTACCGCCTTAATATATAAAACGAGTGTTGTACCTATTAAAGTTAAATATATGTATATTAACATGCATAATAAATAATTTACAGAGCGTACATTAATGTTTTCCAACAGTTATTGCGTTTATAACGTAACAACCATAATATTAAAAAAGTTTAAAATATTCTTTCGTGTATATTCTATGCGATTAGGGGACGGGGGCATATCTAATTAGTCAGACTGAATAGTATTTACCTCAATTTTTTCTAAACACAAGTAACAAAACGTTAACTCTGTAAGAAACATGATATGTTACAAYATTATACACCGTGAAAAGTAAATTATAATACATGCATTTCATATAATATATACTCATATACATAATATACAATACATACCTAATACTATGTACCTAKTACATAAACAAATTTCGTATTAATTACGAAAATAGTTCACTTATTTAAAAAATGATCAATATGTGTCAAGATTTAAAAAGAAAAAATCAATGTAGCCAATGTAGGTACCAGTAGATTGAAAACCTATTTAAACTGTAATTTCTAATTTCCGTATAATAAATTATAAAATTAGATTGTAGTTTAAATTAATTTGTTTAATCGATAATAAAATGAAAAAAAGATTGCATTTATACATGTAAAAAACACCGAAAATATACTGATAAATGAATATTAATAATGTTTTACTTAAACATAATCATATTATTTATTCATCACCAAATGCTTCAAATACGAGGATACAATTGTATCAGGATCCAGGAAAAATAAAATAAAATCACCACATTCTACAAGACATCGCATAAGCCTCAGATCCAGGTCTGTATTACGGTATCTTAAATCAATTAATATCAAATTAATTTATGTTCTACGAGAAATAAAACCACCAATACAATTCAATTTGATTCGATCAAGAACAATAGAATTTATAAGTTTAAAAAAAACGTATAAAAACCAATCATATGTAAATATCATATCAATAAATTGATCATTTATCTGTAAATGGCATAGATATAACATGAGCCAACTAATTGATTATTGATTTATTGTTTACGGCTTAAAATTTTTGAATTCACGGAGTCTCGAATTTTTGAATAAAATCAAACATTTTATAGCCCTACTACTAGTACTAATTACTAAACACACTATGTATGATGTATGAATTCTTAAAAACAAAAAATATCAACAATATTTGCTTAAGGTATAAAAATAAAAATACTACACATTATTATGTATATACATGTCATATTCTTCGATATGTAATATATTGTTATATATCATTTATGAAACATGATAGGAATTGTTTTAAAAATCCGGTTTTATGCTATTTTCTATAATATACTTCACCGAACGTTTTATATTATATTTTTGACCGATTTCGTATAAGATAATACATTATTTTATATTATATATCATCGGTGTGACAATAGTGAAAAGTTGTATTGATTTATTGTTTCATACTCCAAATTCACGGTAATAATGATATTTGAACCCAATTTTCTTTTTTTCTTTTCCATATAAAACAAAACATAAATTTACGAAACTATTTATTGATTGGTGTCAATTTTAAATAATTATTTTTTAATTTGCAAATTATTTACGGTGTATTACTGCTTTGTTGTTTTAAATAGAAGATTTTAAATTGTGTAAGAATTTTTTATGAAGATTGTAATAACGAAGTTAGTTCTATGGTATTTATATTTAATACATTTATAGGAATTTCATATGGGTTGAAATCGATTTCGCATATATTATTTCAACAAAATGCGTGTATTTTGTTAACGGRCAATGGTCTGAAATATAATGTTAGCCCTTAGAAATTAATAACACATTTTATTTGTTTATATAAACAGTCTCTGTCTATATCTAATGAGTAATAAATCAATATTTCCCTCAGCAAATTCAAAAGTGTAGTTCCTATGTTCTATTATTAAACTTTAAAAACCTGTTACCTAATTTGAAGTGAATATCTTTTTAGAAATATAATTTTAATTTATTTTATAAAATTTGAAAATAAAAATAGCAAAATTACTTATTTATTTCTTGTTATAGACAATTGAAATTCTTAAAAACTGAAAGAATGTATTTAGCACCAAGGTTCCAGATATTTACATTGATTTCGAGAATTTTACTAATTAGAGAAATAGGTAGGTAACCGAAAAGTTAAATTGTTACAGTTAGCTCATCGATTCCAGAAATTTAAAGTAATACTTTCAAGTAACTCAAGGTATTCATACTGAAAACATCGTCAACTATAGTGAAATCAGAAAAATATTGAAAAAACATAACCTTCCCTGAAAATATTTCAAACGATACTTTTATGTAATATTCTTTTGATTATTTACAAGTAGTTTTGGTTTTAAAATTCAGTTGATTGATACTGAAGTTATTATTTTAAATTATTAAACGTCTATAAATAATTGTTAATAATATTATTAAATCTTGGTTAAACTATACTCGTATATTATACATGACAATTTTGTTTGTAGCTACTTAAATAATTATTTCCAAAAAGTTAAACAAATGTTTGATATTTTATAGGTATCATCATAATTCATAAGTTAACTGCAATAGTTACTATAATGTGTTTTTAACTATGATGTGTATAAAAATAAACTGTTACCATGTTATTAAAAAAAAATATTTCTGAGAATTAAGTAAAATAAAAATGTGTTTTTTAATTAATCAAGTTATAAATTTATAAGGCATAACCAGAATGATCTCAGGTAAAATGTCAAAGATAGTGGAATCGATTTTCGTTTCAAAATTTACTTGCAAAATCGATGGACATTATCAGCCACCCCTCCCCCTCTCAATCACCACAGTAAAAATAATATTATCATATCGTTGTCGTCGTCGTCGTCATCTTCATTTACCAACGACGAATATAATCACTGCAGAGTGAATMGAACACAATATATGTACCTATTCTACGGGTCAGTGTTAGGTGTCTGGGATGTGGGTGGGTGGGTGCTGAAAGATATAACTACAAATTGTTAATGAGAGAGCTGTAGTCTGTGCTACAGTAACAGTGTTTGGACGCATAGGTGCGCGAACCAATTACCTGGTAATTAATCTCGGCGGATACACTACTATGTATGTTATAAACGAACGGTAGGTATACACGATATAATATAATAATATAATTACTGTGCAGCTGGTGTATGCGAAACGTTACGGCGGCAATGGTTCCCAAACTGTGCACGGACCGACCACGGTCTGCAGCACATAGTATACTAGTAAGTTGATCTGTAGCTATTAAAATGGGAAATTAATTAATAATAAATAAACACATGTAA